CCCTCTGACCCTCCCCCCTCTCATGCTCTCTCTATCTCATTCTCTCTCTCAAATAAATAAATAAAATCTTTAAAAAAAAAAAAAAAGAAATCACACACTATCATTTCTGCTGTATTCTCTGGGTGCAGGGCCAGTCCTGGTTCACTGTGGGAGTGGACTATGCAAGGGTATGAATTCCAGTTGGTGAGCATCACTGGGGGCCATTTTGGAGGTTGGCTACCATGGTGCATATATTTATATGCTTTAACTAACATTTGAGAATGTGTTTAGTAAAATACCAGTATTGGACATGATCTACTTAAACATAAAGAGAAAAATGATTGAAGGTTCAAAAAGATGAGTTCAAATACAGCAAATCTGAAAACCATGAATGTGCTCTGCTTTTGGCCAAAACATCAGTTTTAAAGACACTTCCTTCTTTAATAGATAAAGATTTAAAAGCTTTCATGTATCCAATCATTCTTAAGCTTGGAATTACCCTTTTTCTCCTTTGCTTGGCTGGAGGTTATGCATACATAAGGACCTTAACACCTATAATAGTAATTCACGGAAACAGGTCATTAGAAACAGAATACATTTGTATGTGCTATGGTTCAATAATGAACGTGTTCACGTGAAAAAGAGTCTGGGAAATTTAGGATTTACAAGCGAGTTAGAGGACTCTGGTGTGTATCTGATTCCATAAAGTCTCTCCACCATTGGGAGCCTTGAAAGGAGTATGTTGAGGTCTTTAAATATGGCAGAAAACCCCACACTGCCTGCTCTGGAGTATTAGGAGATGTACCTGATACAGCCTCATGAGAAGTGGTTTCAGAGTTTTGAGGTGGCTCTACCACATGAAGTTTGGCCTAATATCTCGTTAAAGTCATCCTTGGAACAGAACCCTGAATTCCTTGTGTAGTAGAACGGAGGAACAGACTGGAGAAAGAGGCAGTTGGAGAATAAAGATTCAGACGGGGAAAGCAATACCCAGATTCAGGGGTCCACAGTGTCTTCGACTGGGACTACTCATAGTTGTTTTACGTAACCAAATTTCATCCATGGTTTTATCCCCCTGGCTTTGCAAAACTGAGGGCAAATGTATCTTTGCAGGTTTCCTGTTTCCTTGTTGGTTTTGCTTGTTTTGTTTTTTTTCTTTATTGAAACTGGCTTTCCTGAACACCCAGATTTGAAAAATGGAACGGTGGGGCTGCTCTCCACCTCTCAGGATTTGTCGTGAAGAAACAAAATAGAACAAAACAAGCCACTACCCACCCCCAACTTTACCACTGTAATAAGAAACTGCAAAGAGATAGGGGGTTATGGTAAAGTTGGACAATTCTTTGAAAGGATTTAATAATAATTTGTCTTTAAAATACCCCAAAATAAGATATGCAAGTGAGATATTATATATTTTTAATTGGATTTTTTTTTTTTTTTGGGATGGATTCTTGTCCAGGCTCCATTTGCTAGAGGCTTATTTTTATCTGGGTTCTTCCTTTTCTAAAACTGTCGGAAAGAATTATTTTCTCAGGACATCAGATTCTTGGCTCAAGCTGTAACCAGACAGGCTGCAGAATTTTTTTTTTAAAGTATCTATCTTTTTCTTCTTGTTTCTCATCTTTTATTTCTCAAAATACATGTGCTTTTTATAGAT